ATGTATTCTATAGCACAAGGAAATATAGCCATTATTTTGTAATAATTTTAAATGGAGTAGAGCGTATAAAAGGGCTTCACTGATAGCTCAGTTGGTAAAGAATCCACCTGCAATGCAGGGGACCCTGGTTCGATTCCTGGGTTGGGAAGATCCGCTGGAGAAGGGATAGGCTACCCACTCCAGTATTCTTGGGCTTCCCTTGTGGCTTAGCTGGTAAAGAATCTGCCTGCAATGCGGGAGGCCTCAGTTGGATCCCTGGGTTGGAAAGATTCCCCTGGAGAAGGGAACGGCTACCCACTCCAATATTCTGGCCTGGAGAATTTCATGGACTGTATAGTTCATGGGGGTCGCAAAAGAGTTGGACCAACTGAGCGACTTTCACTTTCACAACACATAAAAAACATTGATCACTATATTGTACATGTGAAACTAATAAAACATTGTAAATCAACTCTATTAATAAAAAAATATCTTGAGACAAATGGAAATGGAAACACAAAAGACCAAAACTAATGGGATGCATTAAAAGTAGTTCTAGCAGGGAAGTTCAGAGTGATAAAAACCCACATTAAAAAAAAACCCAAAAAAAAAAAAAAAAAACCCAAAAAAACAACCCAAGATCCAAATATAAAAAACTTTACACCTTAAGGAACCAGAAAAAGAAGACCAAGTGAAGCCCATAGTTAGTAGCAGGAAGGATAGTAATCAGAGAAAAAATAAATGAAATAAAGACTAAAAAGATAACAGAAAAGGTCAGTACAATGATGCCTATGCTAACATTTACACCTTGGGTATTCACATCAGCAACTGCCACAGCGTGAAACCCAGTCTGGATCATCTTTCTGTACCCATATGTCTTGTCATCTACGCACCGTCTTCCCGCATAACACCCACATCCTTCCACCCATTAGACTGATCTGAAAAAGTCCTCAAGTAGATTTTCAAACAATCTTCAGCACAACTTATGAACTATTCACATCCTCCATCTCCAGGAAATACCAGCCAGCTTCCAACAATAGTGAGTCACTGTCAATGCTGAGTTATCCAGGGAATAATTAAGGGCAGACTCTATATTGTTAAGTTCACTCCAGTGGAAATGGAAGGGGTTTGTCTCCATGCTCCTCCCATGATCTCTACTCCCCTCAAATCAGACAAAGTCAAGGCCAGGGAGTTCTCAGGACCTGGCTCCTTAATTTCAACATGGGAAGGATGGTCCAGGGGAGAAAAGAATACAGCGCAAGGACTATAGGCCTTGGATACAGAGGGCTTGGGGGCCCCCTCAGGTCACCCAGAGATGCAGTTGACATCCCTCCTCAAGACTGCTCCCCTTGGTCCAGCCCCAGGGAAGGCTAGCTGAGACGGCACCAACTTGGGGTGCCCAGTAATGTGGAAATGTATCTGAGGTTGACTCCTCACTTAGCACCTTACCTGGTTGGCACTATTTTCTTTCCCTCCAGGACAAGGCAAGTGACAGGCTGACCAAACCATCACCTTTCCCGTGGGCACATCAAAGACCACTGACCCAACAGCATATGCCAGTCCCCACCTGTTACTGCTTAAATGATGTGCAGACTGATTACCGTGGGCTTCCCAGGTGGCTCAATGGTAAAGAACTTGCCTGCCATGCAAGTGGGCTTGATCCCTGAGTCAGAAGACTCCCAGGAGTAGGAAATTGCAACCCACTCTAGTATTCTTGCCTGGAGAATCCCATGGACAGAGGAGCCTGGCAGGCTACAGTCCCTGGGGTTGCAAAGAGTCCGACATGACTTAGCAACTAATCAGCAGCAGCAGCAGCCCTGTGCCTTAAGCCCCATGATGCCCCTGCTCCAAGTCCCCTTCTGTAAAATTCACTCGGTTTCCCTGCCTCAGGCACCCGAGACTTGCTGTAAGAACCTGGCATAGCGGTCATCCCAACCCCAGAGCTGTCAGGGTCACACCCATCCCACAGGCCACGAGAAAGAGAGTCTGAAACAACTGTATTCCATCTATTTTTGTAGCTGCTAAAACAGTCACTGCAGGAAGAGTAGCCTAGAATCCAGCTGTGCTCACAGTCAATATTTATTACGTGAAAGGACAGATCTACTGATTTTCCCACTGAACCATTTTCAAAACCACAAAAGCGATTCTTAATAAGAAAATCAGGGTTTTGCTGTGCCTCTCATAAACTTAAAAGTCTATTTAAAATTACATGCATACAAATATTTTTGTAAGTACCTTTGCATGATACCGGGCATCGCCTCTTGTTTGCGTGATGGTAACAGACTCTCGCTGGGCACTTATGCAGGACACATCAACACTTCGTCAATTAAGCCTGTGATTTCCTCCTGACTTATGACCTTCTGGAAGAGGACCCAGACAGTCACTTAGAGTCTGCTAATGTCACCCACGACCGACCTTCTAAAGAATTCATGTCAAGACTCCATTACTGATGAATCACTAATGAATTGTGTTGACCAGATTCAAGGATTCACACTAATTTCTAGCTTATATTCACATGAAATCTAACAAACCGATTGATACATGACTATACTTAAAAATGAACAAGTTTTAACAGCTTTCCCTTCAACGACTATTTAAAAAATTGAGTGGTCATAGCTAAGATTTTTTTATGAAAACGAAACCTCCCAGGATAAACACCCAGTGCCGTCCACTCACATGTCTGGAAGAGAAACCTAGGAATGGCTGTTCACTGCCCAGGAGGACGTAAAGCCAGAGAGAGCCAGCCATGTCCTGTGGGGAAGAGGGAGTCTCGGGGTCACTTATGGGGACACAGAGAGGAGGAGGGCTTGGATCAGCTGCTGAGATGGGCTCCAGGTTCTCAATTCCAAATCAGGACCTGACCTGGAAATCACAATGGATGCCCCGCCTCTTCCCCAAACAGGTGGGAGAGTACCTTGCTCCAAGGAAACAGTAGAGCAGAATTCACCATCTTACTCTAAGAAACACGACATATTGACTCCATGCCCTTCTGCTGGCCACACACCAAAGGGGAACATAACTGAAATCCAGGTGGTTCAAAAACAAAAGGGGGCTGAGGAGAAAAACCCGACTTACAAAAAGTTTAGTAGCAGTTTTAGATCAAATGAAAGAAAATTCTAATTTATATTAAAGTAAGAAATCTACAACACTCAAACCAAGAGATTTTGTAGTCCAAAGTCACGGGTTCAAGAATAGTTTAAACCCAAATGTATGGTTACCAAAGAGGAAAGGTCAGGGCGAGAAATAAATGAGGAGTCTGGGGTTGACATGTATGCACCACTTAATATAAAAACAGATAATTAACAAGGACCTACTGCATAGCACAAGAAACTTTACTCAATATCCTGTAATAACCTAACAAGGAAAAGAATTTGAAGACGTGTATGTGTATATTTATATAAGACTGAATCACTTTGCCGTACACCTGAAACACAGCATTGCAAATCAATTATACTCTCTAATGTAAAACAAATGGTTTAAAAAAAAAGAATAGTATAAAGGAATTTATGAATAATAGAAGCAAAATAAGACTTGGAAGGAAAGCTCATAAACTGGGTATTATTCCTCCACAAACCTGGACAGTGTGTTGAAAAGCAGAGACATCAGTTTGCTGACAAAGGTCTGTATTGTCAAAGCTATGGTTTTCCCAGTCGCCATGTATGGGTGTGAGCACTGGACCACAGTGAAGGCTGGGCACTGCAGAACTGATGCTTTCAAACTGTGGTGCTGGAGAAGACTCTTGAGAGCCCCTTGGACAGCAAGGAGATCAAAGCAGTCAATCCTGTGCTGTGCTGAGTCACTTCAGTTACGTTTAACTCTTTGCGATCCCATGGACTCCTCTGTCCATGGGGTTCTCCAGGGAAGAATATTGGAATGGGTTGCCATGCCCTCCTCCAGGGGATCTTCCCAACCCAGCGATAACCCAGGTCTCCTGCACTGCAGGCAGATTCTTTACCATCTGAGTCACCAGGGAAGTCCAGTCAAGCCTAAAGGAAATCAATTCTGAAGATTCACTGGAAGGACTGAAGCTGAAGCTTAAACTCCAATATTTTGGCCACCTGATGAGAAAAGCCAACTCACTGGAAAAGACTCTGATGCTGGGAAAGACGGAAGGCAAAAGAAGAAGAGGGTGACAAAGGATGAAATGGTTGGATGGTATCACCAACTCAACAGACATGAGTTTAAGCAAAATTCCGGGAGATGGTGAAAGACAGGGAAGCCTGGTGTGCTGCAATCCACAGGGTTGCAAAGAGTTGGACACAACTGAGTGAGTGAACAACAACAGACCTCCACTTAGGAGACAACACTCTGAAAGTGAATTGAACCTTCTCATAAAACACTTTATTGCCCAGTCAGAGCCAGGACCCCAGAGGAACTGACCGCCAGCCAGCATCTTGTATCATCTAAATCAAATGGTCCAAAATCATGTTAGGGCTGAGAAACGCCTATTGTAGAGACATCCGTTTGTCCAGTACCTGTTATTCTGGGAGCCCTGAATCTCAAGCCACAAGCTGTGTCACAAGCTCGATTTTAACACACGAGAAGATTTCTCATAGGAATACATAAACCCTCCCTCGGAATCCTTATCCATTTGATGTTTTGATGCAAACTTATCTTCCCAGCATCCAAGCTAGGATCAAGCCTCATGAGATGGAGCTCACCCTGAAGACAGCTCCTACGTATCCCGGACACCCATCCCATGTGACACAGAGAAGGCCCATCTCCTACAAACACAAGACTACCTGTCCAGCCAGGAGCTCAGGCGCCGGGCATCTCACAGGTTGGAGGCACCCACGGCCCTGCCTCCTAGCTTACCTGCTGCCACCAGGCACCAAAGCAGGAACAGTGAGTCTAATTTCTGAACCACATCCCTTGGCAACTTACATTTTACAAGGCTCAACAAATCAGAGCTACATTTATTGCCATTTTATTAACATAAAGCGTACTCCCAGTGCAACATGGGCATCTAAGGTGAAAGCAGTCACTCCTCCTGCCTGTCTCAGGCAGAAAGCCACACTCACCTTCGGCGCCCAGTTATGAGAGATGACACGCAACGCAGAGCTCCTCAAAGGGCGAGTTCCTCAGCTGACTGCACCTGAAGTCACAAACTGCTGGAGTTCTCCAAATTCTCCTGTCTAACTCAGATCTCAGCAGATGGTGACGATCCAGAAAGCTGCTCGAAGAAAAGGAACGTAGGAAATCTGAAAAGAGACAGAAAACACTGTTTATCAGGGCAGCTTGCTTGTTGGATTTTAAGTTACTGCTTGAGAAATAACTGATTGTTTGCCTGAAACCAATGCTTTTACTTGTTGTGGCTGTTGTTTAGTCACTCAGTTGTGTCCAACTCCTTGTGACCCCATGGGCTGTAGCCTGCTAGGCTCCTCTGTCCATGGGATTTCTCAGGCAAGAATAATGGAGTGGGTTGCCATTTCCTTCTCCAAATATCTTTAATAGACCCCAGGAAAAAATGTGCTTTATATTTACTGACCTCGACCCAAACAAAAACTCCTTTGCCCTGCTCTACCTTCCAGACCCTGGGTCAACACGGAGGCAGAGGGCAGGTGGGGACCCCCTTGGGGATAACCGAGGGACCCACGCTCCCAGATCTCTTCTAGCCCCCTCCCCACAATACCGCTGCCCATGCCCTACAAGCCTGCTGAAAACAAAAGAGCAGCTGCCAAGAGGAAATTCAAAAAGCCCATCTGGGAGCCTAATTAGGGAGGAGAATTGCAGAGCATGGATACCACGTAGAGATTTCATCTCCTGTGTGGACCATTCACTGAGAGAGGCCCCGCCAGACCCACAGCTTCGTCCTTATCGGGATGAACACACACACACTCTCTCTCTCACTACTGTATATAAAATAGATGCTAACAAGGACCTACTGTATAGCACAAGGAACTCTACTCAATACTCAAATGACATATATGGGAAAAGAATTTGAAAAAGAGAGGCTATACTGTATGCATATGTCGTATGTATGACTGAGTCACTTTGCTATACAACGGAAGCTAACACAACATTGTACATCAGCTCGACGCCAATAAAAATTTTTAAAAAGAAAATATCGCTACAGGAATCTGAAGACAGCATCCTGGAAACTACAGAGGAGGAGCTGATAGAGGGGACCCGCAGCCCCCTCCCTCCCGGCTATGGGACTTGGCTGTGGCCTCATGGCCCCCACACCTGGGTACCTATTTTCAGTCCTGATCTGTCCTTTGAGGGAACCCTGAGGCATTGTGGACTCCAAGGGGGTCCACTGGCATCTTTAATTATGCTTCAAACCCAGAAGGGATCTGTCCTGACCATTCACTTGGACTAGATCTATTAATTCATCAAACCATGATGATGACTCACAACATCATTAAACACCCCACAGAAGAGTCGAGTTCTATTTTAGTCAAATAGAAAAGGATAATTCAGGGAGGGCTTTCATAAAAATGTTATAAGGCAAGTTCATAAATGTTGATTAAAAAATGAATTCCACTTATGCATTCTCTGGTATTATTTCAAGGGTTTGAATGATTTTTGTTTTGTTTTAACGTATGATTTAACGCAAGGAAAAGGTGCTGGGCAGACACGAGACCCAGACGAGATCTTAGATGTGCACCAGGATGGCGGCCTTCTCTCTGCTGAGTGTTTTCAGAAACAAGACAGAAAACAGATGCTTTGCTATCTGGACTCCAGACCTGACCAAGAATTCCAATTTCTCACTGTGGGCCTGACACATGCCACTTACTGGGGAAACCCACTGGCTAAACACAGCTGTGTCTGCAAACACCACCTCTTTATTAGTATTTTCAGGGGTTCTTCTGGACATAAGTTGTAGCTTTAAAATTTTCATTGAAAAGTTAATGTGCCTGGAGTCAGAGCTCAAGCCAAGGTCCTTGGGCGTCTGGGGGGCTGGCTGAGTTGCCCATGTGCACGGTACTCTCATGGTGTGTGTGATTTAATCCTCTCAACAACATCCCGGGATAGATACTAACATTCACTTTGCCACAGGACTTAATGTTCTCAGAGAGGCAGAGACTCTCCTTAGCAGGCTTGGAGTGAGGAACACAGGCGTCAAAGCTGAACCTACCACACCAGCAGCAAGCCTAGTGCCATAGAATTTATCTTCCCTCCCAGTTCACCAGCGCCACAGCCTGGGTCTGGAAGTCTTGTCCTCTGACACTCGTTGTGGCCATCCAGGTGGATACCCAGGATCTTAGCCAGTGAAGGGGTTCCAACCAGAGCCTCCCTGGGAAAAATTGAGGGCAGGAGGAGAAGAGGGTAGCGGAGGATGAGATGGTTGGATGGCATCACTGACTCAATGGACATGAATTTGAGCCAACTCCAGGAGACAGTGGAGGAGCCTGGAGTGCTGCAGTCCATGGGGTCGCAAAGAGTCAGACGCAACTGAACAACAACAAAGATGGCCTGGTCACCTGAGATCCAAGTGTGTGAGATGGAGGGGTGGTGTTTTCTTCAAGAAAAGCATCTCATTGACCAAGCGTCAGTGCACGAACAACACATCTTCCTCAGAAGTGAACACAGACCAAGCTGCTCCCTTGCTGGGTTTCTATGAAGTCCACCCACTGCCACATTTAATGTGGACTATTCAAAGCCTCTGTTAAGGACGAGCACTTCAGATCAGGTCTTTAGTACAACCTGTGATAGAGTCCACCAGGAAAGCACACACTTTGTAGAAAATCACCTCTAACTGCAAACACTGCCAGGTTTAAGGTCACTGGGGCCAAGGTGGTCACTGGAGGACATTTCACAGCCTGCTCAGGCAGGAGGGGACAGTGCATGCTTGTCTTTAAAGGCATTTCCCCACAAGCACCACTTGCATCTCCCCATAGGAATTAAAGAGATGAGGACAGAGTAGAAGGAAATGAACACAAATACTAAATGCACCCCTTTGTCCACAATGATCTGGACCCCGATCATTCTACCACGGCAAAACCAAAGGACTATCTGAATTTTCTGCAATACTGAGGTTTTCTTTTTCTTGACTGTATTTTGAAAAGCCTGGGCCCAACCTGGGGTTCTCCCCAGTCTCGGGGGGCATTCAGCTGGGACATCAGCGAGGGTGCTAGGGTCAGGTGGCTGCCCCCAAGCAGCCCTGCCTGTCCCCACGGGCCTGGCCTCCAGACACCCAAACCAGCTGTCCCAGCCCTGCCTGAACTCCGGGTGCCCCATGCCACCTGCCCTGGCTGTTTTTCTGGGCCACCTCCGTGGTTTCCTCCAAACCTCAGTGGACGTGGCCATTCAGGGCTGGTGTCCATCACTGACAGGCTTCCCTGCAGTAGAGCATTTAGGATTAATGAGAGGCTCATGACCTCCCACTGAGGCCAAAGGCTGGGTGCCCCCCCGCCCCCGCTTTGGGCAGGATGGACATGCAGCCCTGCCTACTGCCTAGATGACGTGAATCTCCTAAAGGCTCCCCGTGAAGACCAGCACTCTACCTCCCAACCCGCAGAAGCACAGAAGTGACTGTACAGGTCCCAGGGACACTGTGTTCGTGGCTCCAGCTTCACCAAAGCCTCATCCACCTTCACGGCAGCCCAGGCGACACACCTCATTGGCAGCTCAGGAACCAAACCACCAGACCCTCAGGCTCAGAGCCAGGATTCAAACCCAGGCCTGCTTGACTGCAGAGCCCCACTGGACTCTTTCTCCCCACATGGATCACCACTAAAGGACCAGAACCTCCAAACCTGGGCGAAGGTCATCTGTCACCACCATCAGTCTGGAGTGTCTGCCACGATGGGAGCCCAGCTTCTGCCTCTCAAATCAGGGAAGGATAGTGTCATAGTTTCTACGACGCAAGTCCATGACCACACACGCCACCTTAATCTGAGAACAAACTTGTGGTTACCAAGGGGTGGGATGGGGGTAGATGGGGAGGTTGGGGTTGGCAGATATAAGCTATTATCTATAGGATGGATGAACAACAAGGTCCTACTGTATAACACAGGGAATTATATTCAACATCCTGTGATTCAGACTTAGAGAAGGAACTCATGGCTGCTGGAGGGAGGGATGGGGGGAAGGGATAGGTAGGGAGTTTGGGATGGAAATGTCACACTGTTGTATTTAAAATGGACAACCAACAAGGACCTACTGTACAGTACAAGGAACTCTGCTCAGTGTTATGTGGCAGCCTGGATGGGAGGGGACTTTGGGGAAGAAAGCATACATGTATATGTATGGCTGAGTCCCTTCACTGTCCACCTGAAACTATCATGACATTGTTAATCAGCTCTACTCCAATATAAAATAAAAAGTTAAAAAAAACCTATGATAAACCATAATGGAAATGAATATAAAAAATAATGTATATATGTGTAAAACTGAGTCACTTTGCTATACAGCAGAAATTAACAAAACATTGTTAAATTAATAAATAAAATACATACATAAATAAAAACAAAGGCACTATTTCTCTTAGATGTCAATGCAGAAAAACATTACTGAGTTACACTGTTTGACTGTTGAACACTGCACATAAGCTCAAGACTCTTGGATTATGCCAGATGAGTATCATGACCAAACCTCATAGTACATGAGTATATGAGATAAACATGCAAAACACACACAGTGAACTGCCCAGACCCCTAATCTGCAGGACAATCCAAAGGCAATTATCTTTTTTCTTTTACTAAAAAAAAAAAAACACTAATGCTTCCAGGGACAGGACCGCACTTGCTCCTTATTACCCCGTGCACAGTAGCCCTGCCAGTGCTCACTGCTGGCAGCCAGATGCAGGGTCCACCTTTCAGAAAGTCCCACCAAATTTGGACTTTTACTCAAGATAAAACTGTCCTGAAAAGGAAACCACCAGATTTTTCTGCCATGGGCTGGAATCAATTTAAATGATAACACTGGTTATCAGTGGACTTCATCTGTGTGAGGATCACAAGTTGATTAATGAAAATGGGGCAGAAAGAGCATGAATTTCTAACTCTGAACAGCCTCAAGAAGATACCACACGTGGCTGGGGAGGTGTGGGGAGCAGGGTCACTGGTCAGATGCCAAGCTCTGAGGGTTCTGTGTTCTGAAATAATGCAGACATGTGCCTTCAAGTCTTCTAGAATGGAGAAGAGAACAAAACTGCCGGCAGTGAGTTGACCACACACCCCATGACCAAAAAAAGTGGCAGGAGTCGTGGGTCCCAGACCTGCTCAGCCCCCACATGCCCCTCCCACCTTGGTCC